CTTCTCAGTCTAGGTTTCGCATGAGCACAACTGTTTGGGATTCCAATTCTTTTCAGTGTTAGCCATAATTTCTTATGATCCACACAGTCAAATGCCTTTACTTGTCATCTATTCCATCAACACAGCACAAACAGGCATTCTTTTGGTATTCACTGTTTTCAGCCAGGATCCATCCGACATCAGCAATGATATCCTTGGTGCCATGGCCTTTTCTAAACCCAATTTGAACTTCTGGCAGTACTGTTATTCAAGCCATTTTTAGATGACCTTCAGTAGTATTCTACTTGCAAGTGTTATTAATAGTATTTGATAATTTCCACATTCTGTTAAATCACCTTTCTTGAGATTGGGAATAAATAATGGCTCTCTTCCATTCAGTTGGCAAGGCAGCCATCCTCCACATTTTCTGGCATAGAATGAATAAAGATGACAGAAGAACTTAGCCTTTGAGCTGTGGTGTCGGAGAAGGTGGAGAATGGGTACTGAATACCCCATATATCCCATGGACTTCTATAAGACCAAACAGGTATGTCTGAGAGAAAGCACAGCCTGAGTGCTCCTTGGAGGCACAGATGAGGCTTCATCTCTCATACTTTGGACTTGCTGGCAGGTTATTTCTTGTAAAGGGTCATCATGCTTGGGAAAGTGGAAGGTTAGCAAAAGAGAAAAAACCCAACCATATGGACTGACTCAGTGACTGCAGCAATTGGGACCGAAAGGCAGTCATCAGAACAGAGCAAAGGAAACTCTGCATGGTTCAAAACTGGGAAGGTTGTATGCCAGGGATGTGTCCTGTCTCCATACCTTTTCAACCTGTATGCAGAACAGATTATCCGGAAGGCTGGGCTCTATGAGGAGAAATGTGGTGTCAAGATTGGTGGAAGATCTATCAACAGTCTCCGTTATGGAGATGACACAATCCTGCTTGCTGAAACTGAGGAGGACCTGAAGCGCTTGCTGCAGAGGGTCAAGGACTGCAAACTTCAATATGGATGGAGGGAGGCTTAATGTCAAGAAGACAAAGATTCTCACCACTGGACCAATTGGCAGCATCAGGATGTATGTTGAAGAGATTGAGAATGTTCACAGCTTTAGTTTGCTTGGCTCCACAGTCAATACTCCTGGCAACAGCACCCAGGAAATTAGAAGGCGTATTGTGATGGGAAAGTCGGCCATAAGGGACCTCTCCAAAGTACTGAAGAACAATGGTGTCTCTCTGGAAACTAAGGTGCGTCTGATACATGCCATGGTCTTTGCAATCACTTGTTATGCGTCAGAGAGTTACACAATGACTAGGGAGGATAGAGGAGAATTGATAGGGAGCTCTGGTGGCCTAGTGGCAAGAAGTTGCGATCCCAGAGGTGTGCGGTTCGGATATACCAGATGCTCTGCTGGAGAAGAAGGGGCAATCTCCTCTGGTACCAGTCAGACCTGATTTGACGGTACACACACATACACAAAATAAAAATAAAAATTAAAAAAGAAAAAGGAGAATTGATGCCTTTGAGCTGTGGTGCTGGAGAAGAGTATTGAATATACCATGGACTGCCAAGAAAACAAACAGATTCATCCTGGAGAGGGTTAAACCAGGCTGTTCCTTGGAGGCAAGGATTCTGAGGATGCGTCTGACATACTTTGGACATGCTGTAAGGAGGGACCGGTCCTTGGAGAGGGACATCATGCTTGGGAGGGTGGAGGGACAGAGCAGGAGAGGACGGCCCTCTATGAGGTGGATTGATTCAGTGACTGGGGTAACTGTGATGGGTGTGTTGTACACAGTGCAATTGGCACTGGACAGTGCAGAATTTAGGGCTGTTGTACATAGGGTCACTACGAGTTGCAAGTGACTCAACAGCACATAACAACAGCAACAATGTAAGGTGACTATGAATTGTATTGAATTCAACAACACTTAACAAAAGCATATAAAAGTAAATGAATTCAAGAGTTTAAAAGTACGTATGTGTAACAACTATGGAAGGCACTATGATGCTTTCTCAAAAAGTTGGAACTAGAAATACTATTTAACCTAGCAATTCCACTACTGGGAATGCACCCTAAAGGAATCAGAACGGAAAAAAAAATCAGAACTGCCACCCAAGAAGATATATGCACACCCATATTTATTGCTTTGTTCACAATAGCAAAGAGTTGGAAACAGCCCAAGTGTCCATCAACAAACGAATGGATAGAGAAGCTGTGGTATATTCACACAATGGAATATTATGCAGCACTTAAAAACAAAGAACTCATGAAATATTATACACAGTGGGTGACCATGGAGGACATTATGCTGAATGCAATATGTGAGTCACAAAAAGACAAATACTGTATACCGCCACTGTTATAGAACAGGACTGATATGAGGATTTGGGGGAGGGAGGAACTAAGAAAAGAGGGGATAAATAATGTACACAGCACTGAAACAGAAGAGGGAGAGAACTGTAGAAAAGAATTTAAGATTAGGTATTATTGACACAGTAAGAGTCCAGAATAAGAGTTGCATAGTAAAGTGGTGGTGGTGGTATTGTGTAACAATGAAAGAACTTTTTTCCAAAGAAAAAACTGAACTGGGGGAAGGGGCGGACAAGGAGGAAAATGTGCAATAACGAATGAATGGAAATCCAGGGTTTTTATAAACTTTCATTAAAATATAAAAAAAACCCCACAAAACCTCACAATATGGGGGGGGAAGGGTACATTTGCTCAGTTAGTTAAAATCTCCATGTATCATAAGTGTTTGTGGCAATCACCAAGCAAGTATGATTTCATAGCAATTGGCAGACTTTAATATTTGAGAAAAAGTAAGTCTATCATACACCTTAAAAATATAGGAAATTTCATGCAAACATGAAGCTTCCAATTCAGCTTTTGTGGTAACTTCTAGGAGAATAACATAGAAATACAGTACATTTTATAGTTCCCAAAAGTCATAATTTTATATTTTTATTTATACAGCCTCTCTTCATATATTTCACCATGCTCACTTGGTTTTTAACATAATTTAACCTACACTGGTTCAAATTATGGTAATGAGAGAAAGAATGAAAACATTTGTGATAGAGAAAGTTTAGGTAAAAATTTTTGTCTTAAATATAAGGCGTATACAATTAAGTAACTAGGGATAAACATAAGAAACACAATATTAAATAAATCCTCTACTGACATTTCCATTATTGGTTAAAATCACATTCAAGCTTGGAATATATTAACTGTCAAAGGCATAAGGAAAAAGGTGATGCAAATTTGTATAGAACATATTTAAAATTCATGATAAAAGAGAGAAATGAAAAGCAAATGAAACTAAAGTACAGCAATTAGCTCAGAAATATAAGCAACATTATGAAAGAATAAACACTGATTGCATAAAGAATTTTAAGGGATAAAGCCCCACCACTGGGGTTAGACTTTTTGTCTCAATTAGGAAAACAAAGATTATTTCTTTTGATACAAGTTATAAAAAAGTAAACACTAGACAGTGAATGAAGAATATTTTGCAGCATGCCTTCTTTCTTTTCAATGGATGTCTCTAATACTTAATCGGGGTTCTTTAAGTTCCTTTTCTCTCTAAAACCCAAAATATTTTTCTTTTCCCTTGTAATTAATTTCATATTCATTTAACTGCTAGTGAAACTTCCTACCAAATAAATATCTGCCAAATGTTGAAGGAACATAAATAGAAATTATTTTAGAAACAGAAAAACAAATTGCAGGCTTCCATAATTTGACAAGTCAAATTAACTCCAGAGACATGTTTACTGCAGCATGAGTGGAAAGATCACAAGAACTCTTTTCTCTAGGCAGAGAAAGTCCTACCAGGAAGATACCAAATCATGTGGTGACACTCTCAACTGAACTGACAACAAAGGTCAAAGATGTGCAAGTGTTTCTATTTTTAAAATAGCCTTTAGCCTAACAGCAATATTACTGTGATTAAGTCCATCTGGATTAATACAAAGCTCCACAGAGGTTATTTAATTTTATCACAATCATCTGTGTAATTCTAGCACAATCATTTGAAAACACTCAACAAGAGTACTTTCTTTTACCAAGAAAAAAACAATTAAAATATTAAACCAGTCATCTTCTTTCCAAGCTGTTGGAAACAGTAATATACATACAAAAATACAAAGAAAACTCTCCAATAAAGATTTTTCTAGAGGTAGAAATTTAAAGCAGCATATACTGTTTAGGTTCTAGCTATCAGGGAATAAAATTGGTGTTAGTTGGAAATTACATTAATGGCTGCTGCTTTAAGACACAGACCACAGACAGTAATTTATCCCTGAATTTCATATTTGAAATTTTCCCACATTAATACCATTGTGACAGTTTTTACTAGCATACTGTTTAATGGAGAAAAAAAAAGTGCTTGCTTTTCTCATTCAGATAAACTAAAGACAAGACATTATTGTAAACATCATACTGGCAAACTATATTCATTTATAGTTGAGTTTTACCTTTCAAGTGGGCAAATTTGATTCTTACCTTCCTTACTATCAAACCTTTAAAAAAGGCTAGTGCCGCACTTTAGATGTTGGGACACAAAATAAGTGATTCAGTGAAAAAAAAAATGTTTTAAAAAATGTTTTAGTGGGGCTAAGCCATCTGTTAATTTTTCAGATTACCTCCCTGTGATGCTAAATACAGCATTTCAGTGAAATGTTTGATGTTTCTTTGAGTTCAGCTGAACTACAAAAAGAATAAAATAATTTGAATGATAAAAGAATAGACACGTTTTACGTACAGACTGCTTAGTTCCAAAATGAACAAAAAGTTCCAATTCTAGATGTTGAATGTGACAAAGAATTCTTAGTCAAATCCACACACACTATGTCCAATGTGTACAAAACAATAAAAAAAGGTAATTTTGGGCTTGGGCTTCAATATTATCTGACATTAATATTGCAGACTTGCATCAGGATAGCTTCATGAAGATATTGGAAAGGAGGCTGTTTCCCACTGACTCAATTCTGCGCTTCAAGGAAACAGTATTTAGCTCCTCCATGTTCACTTGTGTAGTACAAATATGCATGGCATAGTTTATTTCTGAAAAAAGCAATAGACACATATTAAGAAAATAGATGCTATTTTCTAAATTATTTTAAGAATAAGAAGGCACCACTGATTTGAGGTCTTGTCCTTACTGATAGATGATTTTGAGTTCTATATTTCAGCATTTGCTCTTATTATACTTTTTTTCCTGGTGATATCACTTGAGGCAATTACTGTGGTTTCCGTACAACAAACAAGACACATTCATAGTAGTATTTCATCATGGAGAGATCGTTCACAGTATATGTTGACAAGACAGATTCTTTTTCCACCTAGGATACAAATAAAAAAGATGATTATGATGAAAACACACTACTAAAAATATGACACACTCAAAAGTAAAAATCACTTTTTTAAAGCATCTTCTGTGTATTCTTTCAATATCCCCATTAAGAAAGTACAGACAGGTCTTGGGAAAAGTGCAGCAGAGTGCTCCTTAGAGGCAAGGATGGCAAAGCTTCATCCCATGTTAGACGTGGCAATTCTCTGAAAGGGGCATTGTTGGGAACTGTAATGTGTTGTTTAGACTCAGCAGGCAAATTTGTGCTAACTTGTAATGTGCTTTATATGCACTTTGTAGCTTTAGCCAGACTCTACCCTTATCTGAGCAAGGGCAATATTGCTGTGGAGAATCACTGTTTTAAGAGTAATGTTCATAGGTGTTAAGAGTAGCGGTTCGTGAATGAACTATGACAGAGAGCCACCTTTGTTGGGAGCATAAAAAGAATTTGGTGGAAAAGTTCACAGTATGAACACAGTATGGCAGCTTACAGTATGGCTCCTCCTTGCAGTCTGGGAGAAACAGAATAAAAGTGATGTTTAAGCATCCTGCAACTATTTGGGTCTTTATTTTCCAGTTGGTCACTGTATCTGAGGGTCCAGTTGGTGGACTATCTGGAACCAGACATTTAATGTAATGAGCAAGATACCTAATCTTGGATGAAACAAATGGTGCTGTGAGCAGGATTCAGGTGTAACAGACATCATGCTTGGAAAGGTGGATGGTCAATGAAAGAGAGTAAGACCTTAAACAAGATGAATTGACACAGTCACTGTAGCAATGCGCTCAAGTATGTCCGAGACAAGAAGGATGGCACAGGATGGATAGGACAGGGTTCAGATCTGTTGTTCACAGGGTCACTATCATTTGTACTCAACAGCATCTAACAACAATAATTTAATTTTACAAAGAATCTGAAGCACAGACAAGTTACACAATTGCCCCAGGTCATGCTGCTGATATAAGATGCAGAATGGACCTCAAACTTGGGCAATCAAATTCCAGAGCTTGAATTCTAAACCACTATTTTGAAGATTTTGGTGATAATAGTACTTTATGGTTTGTGCTGAAAACTGATAGCTTAGCAGTTCAAATCCATCAGCTGCTCTGCAGGAGAAAGATGAGGCAGTGGGTGTCCATGAAGATTTACACCATGAAGATTTACAACTTTGTAAACCTTATAGGCAGTTCACCCTGTTCTACAGGGTCACTATGAGCTGGAATTGATTTGATGGCAGTGGTAGAGAGCTCTCTCATACCTAGTTTCTATCTGCTTCCCTGGAGTCAAACCTACTTGATATGTGTCAGTGAAATCTCCAGAAGACCATATAAAATTGATCAGCTATCATTTACTGATAAATTATTACACTAAGGATTCTAGTTTACCCTCTAAATAAAAGCTATCCCAAATTCTTATAATTTTGATTATTACCTTCATCTAAATATGAGAAAATATCATATCAGATAAGGGACTTATATCCAGAATTTATGAAATACTTGAGCACCACAACAAGATAAAGGTAAATAATCCAATAGAAAAATGGGCACAGGCATTTCACCGAAGACGACATTCAGATGGCTAACAAACACATGAAGAAATGCTCAAAATCCCTAGCCCTAAGAGAGATGCAAATTAAAACAACTATGAGATATCATTTCACCCCAGTCAAAATAGCAAAATTTAACAGAACAGCAAGCAACAAATGCTCGCGAGGTTGTGGAGAAACTGGAACCCTGATTCACTGTTGGTGGGAGTGTAAAATGGTGCAACCCCTGTGGAAAGCAGTATGGCACTTTCTCAAAAAGTTGCAAATAGAGATACCATTTGACCCAGCAATTCCACTACTGGGAATATACCCTGAAGAGACCATAGCTGACATCCAAGTAGATATATGCACACCCATGTTTATTGCAGCTTTGTTCACAATAGCAAGGAGTTGGAAACAACCTAAGTGCCCATCAACAAACGAATGGCTAGAGAAGCTGTGGTATATTCGCACAATGGAATACTATGCTGCATTAAAAAACAAGGAACTCATGCAATATTATTCAAAATGGTTGACTCTGGAGAACATTATGCTGAGTGAAATATCCCAGTCACAAAAGGACAAATATTACATGATGCCACTGTTGTAGAATGGGACTGTCCTTGGGGTTGGGGAGAGACTGAGTAAGATGGGTTCAATAATGTATACTGCACTGAAACAGAGGAGGGAGAAAACTGTTTAAAAGAGATATATAACTAGGTATTTCTGTCATCACAGGAGACTAGAGCGAGGGCTACATGGTGGAGGGGACCTGGGGGAGGGTAAGAATCTTTTCTTTTACTTTTCCATAATTTTTGGACTCATGTACTTATAACTTGTTAGTCAAATTTGTGTCTTCTAGGTTGCAACACCCCCATGATACATCTTCAAGGATATGAACATGTACGGCCAAGCACAATCAATAAGAGTGCATCTAAATTCCAAAATCAATCTCCATAATAGTCTATGTGTTTCCTACTGCCAAAGGGGCCCTTTAGAGTAGTGAGAGAAGATCTTCACCCTGAAACCCACAGTGTCCCTTTTCAGCAGGAAGTAGCTAAGAGAATACGCCATCCCCTTTTCCTTATGACTCAGGGTGAAGTCTCTCTCAGGGAGGAGTGATAGGGAATGGCAAAGGACACACTGACAAAGAAGATTAATCAGAACTGGCTTTGACAAGCACTGTGGCATTTGGACAAGAACAAACTGGGAGGAGGGTAGAGAGAATAGTGCAACAATGAATGAATGGAAACCCAAAATCTCTGTAAATGTTTATGAAAATTAATAAAATATAGGAAAAAAATAAATATGAGAAAATAGAGAGTTTAAGAGATAAAGCCAGTAATAAACATTTATATTTGGGCACTGAAAAGTAAACTTCCCAACTTTAATTTGTAAACAAGTATAATTTAAAAAATGCTTTATAATTATTTCATTTTACCCTTACCTCTATCTGGAATCCATACTGCAGAACAACATTTTTTATATCCTCATAGCTCAATTCTATAGAAAGTTCATTTGCCAAATTTTCAAAATGGTACAGCAGAGGACCTGTAGTTTAAAAATACTATGAATTAATTACTTGAAGGTAAACATGGATTAGTAACCGTGAGACTAATTCCACACTAGACATGTTAGTTTCTATACTGAAGAAGTCCTGGGGCGGCACAAACAGTTAATATGTTTTGCTACTAACAGAAAGGCTGCAATTCTGAGTCTACCCAAGGAGCTCTGGTGGCGTAGCCTAAAGGAAGCTGTACCCCACACTCAAGGAGGAACCTCTCTGGTGTTTGAATCTATCAGCTGTTCTGTGAGAGAAAGATAGGTCAATCTCTTGTCATGTAATCTACAGACTCCACAAACCTTCTAAGAAGTTCAGATGGCAATGAGTGAGCAAGACATGTCTCCGAAGAAAGGCATGGTAATCTGCTGACAAATCAGTTACTTATAACCTACAGAGTTAGGAAGTTCTACTCTGACAAATAGGAAGTGGCCTTAATTAGAGCTGACTTGATGGGAACTGGTTTGGCTTTTTCTCCTTAAAAGAGTACAGACTCTAATGAATGAAACAAACACAAAAGAGATGGAAAGAACCATCACAATCTGCCAGGGATACTTATCCAGGCCTACACTCCGAGGAATCTGAACAAAAACACACACACACACACACACACACACACACACACACACACACACCCAGGCCTATACTCCGAGGAATCTGAACACACACCCACCCACCCCGCTGCCTTAACCTGGTACATCATTCTCCACATCATGCACACACACCTGTAAGTCCCGAGTGTCTGGAAAAGCAGCTGCTACCAGAAATGTTAAACATTCAAATCCCATAGTTTTAACTCCATTAAGCAAATGCAAAACTGGGGATCATGTAAGAACAGAGAGGGGTCCCTAAGTAAGCCTGTGTAGGATGGAGGTGGAGTAGTTACAGAGAAATGGGATGATAGTAAAGACTTTTTTTAAAGAGAACTGTGTATATCCCAGCTCTAACATCTATCAGCTATATGCCAGTTGTAAATCCTATTGTATCACTTTATATTTCAACAGCAGCTATGGATATACCCCAATTCACTTATATACCTTATTAAAGTTTATGTAAAATTTAAAAATATGGGGCCAACAAAATAAGCAAGTATTATCTTACTTTTATTTATCTGACTAGTACTGAGGATAAACAAATTTCCCCCTTCCTTTCTTCCCCTAACTTTTAAATCTATGTTGTATATAAAGAATAGCTTCTGACAGCGAAACAAATATTTAAAAATACACAAAAGAATTTCTATTTCTTATAAAGGAAGCTTAAGGAGCTCTGGTGGCATAATATATAAGGAGTTGTGTTATCTCCAAAGCTACCAATCTTGGTTGCTTGAATCCACCGGCAGCTCCACAGGAGAAAGATAGGCAATCTCCTCCTGTGCAGTTTACCCTGGAACCCAATGGAGGGTGAGCTATGAGTTTATTCCTACTCAATGACAATGAGAGAGACAGAGATGGGGGCGGGGGGAGAGAGACAGACAGACAGACGGTACCATGGGGTAACAGCAACTGTTCACAGCTGGGGTCAATTGTGCTTTCTTCTTGCCTCAGGTGCATCTGCATATATCTAAAGTCATTTTTAAGTGCTAATACTGGCCATGTTGTTGAAGACTAGAGATGGTGCTAAACATCTTAGAGTGAAGAACAGGATACCTTCTTCCAAACCAACCATTGTTTAGCTCAAAATATCAAGAGTGTTGTGGTTGAGAAACCCAAAGATCACAAAGAGTTTGTTTTGTTAAATAAAATTTTTATTTTTATACTGGTTTACTTACAAAGTTTGTATAGTTTTTCACACTGGATCTTTCCCATTTCCTTCAGCCGCCTCTCCCTCTACTCATGAAATTGTGTGACCCTCAAATCCACCAGATGCTCTGCTGGAGAAGGAGGGGGCAATCTCCTCCTGTACCAGTCAGATCTGATTTGACGGTACACGTAAAAATAATACAATAAAAATAAAAAAAAATTGTGTGACCCTATGATTACCATCACCCATCCTCACCCCTCCGCTACCCTCTTGGATCCTCATACACATTCTACAATAATGGTCTTATACAGTATTTGGCCTTATGGGACTGAGTTAGTTCATTTAAAATAATGCTCTCCAGTTCCTCCCAAGTTAGGTAGTGATTTACAAAATCATTGCTCCTGTGGGCTTAAGAGGTACAAACTGTAGACTCTCTAGACACAGATGGAAAGGAAGAAGAGTAAAGAATTTCTAGGTTTCTGGCTGGGAACTTTTGAGTAGGTGATGGAAAAGTAAAGGTACTTGAGGCATGGGTATCATTTACTTGAGTCAGATTTTCACATGCCTGTGATGCCAACAAGTTGAATAAATGGCTTTGAGCACAAGACAAACATTTGGACCAATAATGAAGATTAAGAATTGAATAAGAGAAGTCATGGGATTGAGTAGGATTAATGTGGAGTAAAGAAGTACATGGCATAAAAACAAAACAAAAACTCTCAATTAGAAAAGATAGCTACTTAGACAACATCAGTATTTCTGAGAACACTGAATGTAATTGTTTTAAATTCTAGAACTTAGACATGCAAAAGGGAGATCTGGTGGCTTAGTGGTGAGGCATTGCATTGCCGATGCAAAGATACACAGTTCAAAACCACCAGCTGCTCCACAAGAGAAGGACGGGGAGGTTCCTGTGAGATTTACTACTGCTGAAAACCACTAGAGGGTCAGCAATGGATTAGTTCTGACTTAATGGTATACAACAATATACATGCAAATAGGTAGTAAGCTCCCAAAGAACTATTTTTAAGGGCTGTATTACTCCATTATCCTAATCCTTTAAATAATTTTGAAACTTTATAGTAAGAAAAACCTGTGACACCAGTTCTACAGGATGCATCACCTTTGCTCGGGAAACATTATGACTAAACTTCAGAGACATTAGTCCCAACATAAGGAACTACCATCAGCTGATGTGTTTGAAAGCTTCATATATAAGTTATTAGATGGAGGGCTGGTTAAAGGGAGATAGATGTGAAGGGAGGGGGTAGAAGTGGATGGGTATCCTGGTGGAGGGTGGAGCAGGGAAATAAATGGGTAAAGACGCGTGTGAGAAAGGCAGGGACAACACTGACACTTAAATTAACTCCGCAATAAGGTATATAC